CAGAGTCACGTTTTCTAAAAATGTGCCAGAAAGCGATCGTGTGATGTGACCAAGCGGCCGTGAATGGTGGGAGTCGATTGAGTTGAAAGAAGCGAAGTGAAAAAGCTGTTTTCACCATCACACAGCGTTTACACGAACTGACCGAGGTGACGTGAGGTCGGCGCGTAATGAGCCAAAGTAAACGATCGTTTAAAAAAGTGATTGAAGTCGGTAAAAACAAAACACACATGTTTGAAATTAAGTAGAATAAATGGAGTTTGGAGAATATATGGTGAGTGGATGGTCTTTAGTATCTTTGTTCACAGTAGTGACAGGATGTGAGCCGCTAACCGGAATACAGTTAATGAACGGAGCAGAAGCTGAGGCAGCTGGGAAATGTACAAATAACAAGGATGCTCGCAAAAGAAAGGACAGAATAGATGAAGTTTGAAGTGAAAGTAAAAGCATGAGCAGCTGGAAAGTGGGTGATTTTAAATTGATGGGTGATGATATGTGGTTTTACAATGTGGAAAAAGTATCAGATAAACTAAGTGATGCTGTGGACCAACTGGAAAATATGGAAGTAAATGGGAAGAATGGGAGCGAAAGGACTTTATGTGAGAGAAGTGATGGACTGTGATGTAAAACTGACGAGGCAAGTGTAGATATGGAGGTGAATTAGATGCATGGAAGTCGATGGATAATGTGCAAAGATGTGATAAAAGTTCATTAAAATGTGGAAAGAACAGCATCGGAGCAACTCGGCAAACAAAGCAGCATCAACACTTTGTCTTCATCTGCGCCTGACGGAAAAACAGGAAGCAAACAAAGTTAGATAATCAACCAACAGCCGAGCACATTTCAACCCAACCCCCCGTGATGTTCTGTAAACATTATAAAAGAAAATAAATGCAGTAAAGTCCATTCTGACTTCAGCGCACATTCAAATAAAACAATTCAGCCATTAAAATACTAATTGAACGAAGTCAAAATAAGATGACGTATATAAAAAGCCAAACTCAATTTAATTAAGTCAATGATTTTATTTATTTTTGTTTTCCTCCATCACGTCTCTCATCATCCCTCGACCTCCAGCTGCTCCAGCTTCTGACCTTTTCCAAGGTCACTGTCAATCTCTTCGTCCACTGGAAAATATGGAAATAAATCAGCTGAATGGAAGTGAATGGATGCCTGCAACGGGTGGATACGTTTAAGGTTAGAGAGAGTAAAACCATATCCAAGTTGTTTGTTTAAACAGATACACCTTTTCTTATTATCATTATTATTATTTTTTAAATCTAATGAAAAATATTCTAAATATTGTAGTGAATTGGCACCAACACGTCGTCCCAACAAAAGAGAACAGCTGAGATGTTAGAGACTGTCAGCTGCAGGGAGATGTTGGAGATGATCAGCTGCAGGGAGATGTTGAGATGATCAGCTGCAGGGAGATGTTGGAGATGATCAGCTGCAGGGAGATGTTGGAGATGATCAGCTGCAGGGAGATGTTGGAGATGATCAGCTGCAGGGAGATGTTGGAGATGATCAGCTGCAGGGAGATGTTGGAGATGATCAGCTGCAGGGAGATGTTGGAGATGATCAGCTGCAGGGAGATGTTGGAGATGATCAGCTGCAGGGAGATGTTGGAGATGATCAGCTGCAGGGAGATGTTGGAGATGATCAGCTGCAGGGAGATGTTGGAGATGATCAGCTGCAGGGAGATGTTAGAGATGATCAGCTGCAGGGAGATGTTGGAGACGATCAGGTTGTTTTGCAGCAGGTCAGTGACATGAGTGGGTACGAGAAGAGCATCTTATAGAGGCAGAGCGTCACCGATCGGAGGAAATAAACTGCATCTACAAATTGTGGAAGAATTTCATAAAACTGCACAGACTTTGAGTATCTGATCGTCTGCAAACGAGCGAACGCTGAGTTTGAGTGGTTGCAGTAAACATTTGAAGCCTAACGAGGACACTCGTGTGAATAGTGAGTGGAGGTGAGCGGTGCAGTGAGTCTTTGTTTTTGTCTTTCAGGGCCTGT